ACAAGGTTCCCCGTAAGTAGTTGTTTTATCGATTTAATGATATCAAATATACTTTTTATTTGCATAATATATATGTCCAAGTTTATATTTGTAATAACTGTCATATTTAAAAATAAACTAAAATTTAGATTTATTTTCTAGTCTTACCTACTGTTGAAATTCATGGTAAATATTTCTAGTTGTTATATGTTCTACTTATTATCCATATTTTTTATCCTGTCTAAGAAATAATCTTAAATGTCAATATATTTAAATATTACTAATGTTATAGTATTTTAAATAAATATATGATACATAATTATATGTGCTGCTGTATTATCAAAGATTTTTAAAAACTAATACAAGGTTCCTAAAAGTAACCCAGATGTATGTAGGTAACTACTATAGATATAAAGTGATAAAGTGTAAATTGTTAACCATAAAAAAAAATTTAACATAAACTAAAATTTGGATTTACTTTCTAGATGGGCTTCCTGAAGGATCAACAGGTAAATATTTCCACATATTATCTGTAATGTTTGTCCTGTACCTACTCCTGTCTTAAAAATAATCTTAAATTGCAATACATTATAATATATCATCATATCAGGGATCGAAACGAGAAAAATGATTATTTTATATTTTTAATTGCTCTTTTCTCACTTTCTTAAATAAAGATATAAAAATGTTTTGTTTTTTGGTTTTAATCATGCATAGTCCTAACTTTATTTATTTATTTTTATTATTTTAATGATTTTTATAGATCATTGCGCCTCACTGGGATATATCTAATAGAGACTTAGTGTTATCTTTAATAATATTTAAAATGTGCATAACCCTCAATGTTATGTTAAAACTAATTATTATAACTTGCAAGAACCTAAATCTTGTGAAGTAGTATTAGATTTCAACCATGCAATATAACACCTTCTATTTCATTACTTCACACAAAGACTAAAACAGTATGGCTGTAAAAATCAAACAACGTTATCTGTTTAATTATTTTAATCGTAATCATTTTTCCCATTGTCCATGGTTAGTGATTATAACTTTTAATTAATGACCAATTTTGTACTAAGGATTTCTTTTAAACAATATAATAATCTAGTATTTTTTTTTTTTATACACTTCGATAAAAATATTTTCACTTGATAACAATAAATACGCAGTTCCTAAAAGTAGTTATTTTAGAAATTTAAAGATATTAGAGATATTAAGATGAACTCACTATAGATATGATTTGTTCAAATGTAAATTTGTGATAACCGTCCAAAAAAAAATACCAACTAAAATTTAGATTTAATTTTCTAGATAATATCGTAAAGGTAAATATTTCTTGTTTTAATTGCTACATAATACCAAAGCTAAATAACTACTAAGCCATGCATTATTTGCCATGCCATATTATTTAGTCATGCATAATATTATCTGTGTTGATTATTCTTGACAAAATATAATCTTATATAGTTAAATGTTTAAACATTTGAATATTTTACTACAACGGGGATCAAACCCAGAAAAAAGATTATTCAATGTCTTAAATTTACTCTTTTCTCTCACTGGACTCTCAGACATTTACAGCATTTTTAATAAAGAAAAAAAAATTTTAATTACATATCTGTATGAATTGGAACTCATTAGGAACAAACAATTTCATTATTTTTTCTTGAAAAAAAATTTCGTTCAATGTGTAATTTCTCAAAAAGGAATTCGTTCCTTTTAGAACTCGTATTATATTATATAAACACTGTATTTTATTATATGGTAATTTTGTTTAGAGTTACACTAATTTCAGATGACAAAAACTAATATGCAATATCCCCTAGAGGGGAACGGATGGGACTCAATGACGCCCGTTTTTTGAACGCAATATGAATGTTGTTTCATATGTAAAAAAAAATATTTTTTTCTATTTGCTGTATTTTCACAATGCTCCTCAAAATAGTTATATTAGTAATTTAAAAGTATTAAAGATATCTATATGGCTATAATGTACATACCTACCATGAATTTATGGATATACAGTGATCAAGTGTAAATTTGTGAAAACAATCTAAAAAATAATAAAGTACAAGCTAAAATTTAGATTTATTTTCAAGGTGGTCTTCCCAATTCCAGAATAAATGGTAAATATTTCTTCATATTATTTGTGTTATTGACCCTTTCCTAAAAATAATCCTAAATGTTAAAATCCTGGGCGACACACATAAAAATTAAAATTAAATCCTTAAATATCAAATTACATAAACTTAGACCTCTTCTCAGCTCCAACATCTCACTCTCCAATAAATTGCTAATCTACAAACAAATTATTCGCCCGGCTATAACTTATGGCATCCAACTTTGGGGCTCAGCCAAAAAATCTAACGTCAATATATTTCAAGCGTTTCAATCAATTAACCTTAGGCTAAAAACGAAAGCTCAGTGGTATGTTAGTAATCGTTCCTTACATAATGACCTAAAAATATGCATCATTCCTACTCTCGCCCGTTTATATTATTCGAATTTCCACGCGCACACTCACAATCACCCTAACCCCCGAATTTCTAATCTTTCCTCTGCCACCATTCCCAACAATCCTCCTCGACGCCTTAAACGTAACTGGTCGCGTGATTTACTTTTATAATCAGCACAAAAACTTACTAATCAAAAATCAAAATGTATTATTGAAGTAGTGTCATTGGATGCCCCCTTCTATCACGCCCACATGCCTTGTAAATAATGTTAAAAATTTACTTATTGTATCAAATGTATACAGATTGTAAATATATTGTTGTTTTTAAAATAAAATAAATAAATAAATAAATAAATATTAAAATAATTTAATATCAAACCCAAAAGAAAGATTATTCAATATTTTTAATTGCTCTTTTCGCTTAGACATTTAATGCATTTTAAATAAATATATAATTGTTATAGCTTAGACTTCAAATCTTTCATACATTTTTTTAGAAAATTTCAAAATAGCCAATTTGTAAATTTAGTTTTTAACAATGTTATTTATAAAAGCTTTTATTTTGGTCATGTAGGTACTTTCTATTTTTAAATTTTTTAAATCTAATTTTTTTTTTGTTAAACTATGCTGATTTAGTATTGAGAAAAAAATTAAAAAATAATAAGTCATTAAATATAAGCCACTATTTATTTATTCATTTATCGTATGGCCAAACATTATACATCATTAACAACCAATAGATAATAAGCCACTTTAGTTTGATAAATGTTTTCTAAAAACCAGAATTTGCAAATTGACCCCTTTTAATTTTCAGAAACAAATTTGAATCAGATTTTAAGTTTTGTAATTTTCAATATTAAAAAAATGTTATACTATTCATGCACAAGCACAAGCTTCTATAAATTATCTATAAAAAAAAAGTTTAAGTGGGTGATACCTCGTAGTACAGTAGGTATGTTAGATGTTGGTCACTGTAATGGATATGGTGTTAAAATTAAATTTAATGAAACTCCCTTGAGCTTGCATAAAGAGATGGGATTTTTAACTCTTGTATTAGGTATATAGTGTGTTTTCATTGTTAATATTGTATAACCTTTTTTGAGTTGCGTTTATTCTACCAACAAATATGTATTTTACCCTAAGATATTTATCTATAGATTTTATTTATATTTGCAGAAGCCTGAAGAAGAAGACGAGGAAATAATTGAGATTGGATACAGTCATACAGACGAACCATATAGGTGGCCTTATACATTAATCAAATATTTTATTTATTTTATTTAACCTTTCCTTGTCACTGTATTATGCTGAGAAAAATAAAAAAATATATTTAATATATAATATAATATACCAAGTGTATAAGTCTTTATAAGTTTTTAATAAATGTAACTATCAAAATGAATATTATTATATTAACACTTAAACGTGTGAATAGCTATGCGTGTTTTTAAAAATGGACTCTACATTAAGCAACAAATTTATATTGACGGTTTTAAGACTGTTTGAAATGTTGAATACTACAATACATAATTGTAAGCTTATTCGCCAAAATACATAAATAATAGATACAATAATAAATCTTAACATTGGGTCACATTTTTCTTTTTTGCTTTTATTCCGTTGATTTTTTTCAGTTGCCCTTTACATTAACATCACTACAGCAAGCAACACGTCATTATCGTAATATCGTGAAAAAATATTCACTGCAGCTATTATTTGAAATAATTAGAAATATTGTCTTGATACGCCAAATACCAATAGGCATATAAATATACTATAATATACTATACACTATGACCTGGTAGAATTTGTAAATATTTATAATTGTATTTTATGTACCTCGTAACTACAACAAACTACCACTTACGACAACGCAGAACCACTAAGGCGCCAACTACCAAAGTCGAAAGTATTAACGCTTGTTATCACCTTTAAAATAAAAAGCAGTTAAGAGGGTGATGCTCTGCTGTGCAATGCTGTGTGCCTGTGTGACATGTTGGTCACTGTTATGGTTGGTGTTAAATTTTCATTCAATGATTACTCCGTCTCGGCATATTTAAAGAGAGGGAGTAATCAACTCTTGTATTAAGTTGTATATTTTCTTTGGCATATCTTACTTCATTTGTTGATTTGCTAAATAAATATTATTATTATTAAACCACTTAAAACTTACAATTAAGTTGTACGTGGTTATATATATTTATATATACATTAGATTGACATAGGTTAGGTATAGTATACTATTAATATGTATAATGTATACTTTATAATATTAAACCAATTTTGGCACTAATATACTTAGTAAATTGTTTAAAAATAATAATAAAATAAATAACTTTTATAAAAATTTTAAATTATTAATTTTTTTTTCTTTATTACTTAACTATATTTGATTCTAGTTATTTATTTTATCATTTTGTTCTTAATAATGGCATTAATTATAAACAGGTAGGAATCTACTAGTAGTAAATAATCAATGATACAAATAAACATAATTAAATTAATTATATATACTTAAATAATATGCATAACATAATAATATAATAATAATATTGTTACATTTTTTTTTAAAAATTTATTTTGTTTTGGATATTATTTTTTAACTTTAAATTAATGATAAACTAATTATCTATCAAAATAATTAGACTACATTATAGTTTAACACATTGTTATTCTCAATGAAAATTATTTATAAAATTACAATATTTTACATAATTGTCTAACATAGACATTATATTTTAAACTAGGTAATAAATTACCTAATGGAATACGGAAGACTAATTTTTACTAAATAATTTGTCGATTGAATAATATTTATCTTTAATACAAAATTATAAATAAAAGTATTAAATTAAAGTCACAATTATCTATTTGCCCATTTCCAGTTTCCTGTTGTTTGTTCATTTGGCTTAAGTAAATGTGGAATTTCTTTTAGACAACTTTTTGCCCACTCAGGTAGTAGATGTCTATCTTTTTGATCATATACCATTACTACTCCTTGAGTTGTCACACATTTCACCTTACCGGTAGTCGTGTCAAGTTTTACTAGTGATCCATCACCATAATTTATACAGATTTCACCAGATTTAATTAAAAATGAACTCTTTAACTTACAATTTATTGGTATGTCAGATTTATCTTTTGGTATAGGTCTTCTTCCTAGTGTTACTGGAAACACAGTAACGCCACTGTTAGCACTTGTATCTAGAGTACATAAAGTTTTTTCAACTAAGCAACAATGTTCATAGTATTTTTTGAATTGAATGTAAATTATTTTATCTGATTCATCTAAACATTCTGGTCGACTAAAAGATTTTGGTTTTCCATTCACGACTATTTTTATGTCTCCATTTCCAAGACTTGATACCATGGATCCATTATAAAAATGTGCTTCAAATGCTTTTCCATCTTCCATAAGAAGACATTTTGCCTCATCACTGTAAAAAACAACTTTGGCCGTCTTAGAAGCAATAAGCTTGACAAATTGAGCAGCATATGCATATTTTTTCCAATGATGTTGAGGAAGTGATTCATAACTATATACTTCATCAGCTCCTTTAACTGGTATAGGTGGAGGTTCTTCGTGCAAAGTCACTCCTCTATCTTTATTTGGTCTATATATAACCATATGCTGACCATCAGAAGAAATACGTATTACTTCTACAACTCGTTCTTCTTTAGATTTTGATTTCATTTTAATAAACTCTACACAAACATCTCCATTATTTAAAATACTTAAAACTTTATTTTTTGTTTTGTGTCTGTGTTTTTGCAAGCGTACTGTGCTTAAACAATCGGCCATTCTATTTGATGAACTTGTTTCAGGAAAGGTTTTAAATGACTGTAGAAATTTATCATCAAACACGGTAAATTGTCTATTTTTAGAATGCTGTGATGGAGCTATATGGTACATATTATTCTGGAAATTATTACTGTGTTTATGAAAACTTCTTATTATATTTGATGTGCAACATTCTTGTTTATTAGCTTCTGTATTTAAATGAAAATCTCTACAAGCTGATAATACATTTAAGTTAGAATTTCCATTGTGGTGGTTAATTTCAATACTAGGATTATGAATTGAACGTACATAATGTAAGCCAGTTGAAGAACTACATTTTTCCTTATTAAATGAAATTGTGTTGAAACCACTGTCTTCAGTAAAATGTGATTGATGAAACCATATAGAAGGTCCATCACAAATAATTTTTTCTTGCATAAAATCATGATTTAATACACTTTGTAAATCTATGCGATCCCTTGGGTTTTTTCTGAGTAAACAATTTATCAAATCTTTAGCTTTGTTCGATAAATAGTTTGGCAAATTAAAATCACTCATCACAACTTTTGTGAGTGTGCTTTTGATAGCATCAGTGTCAAAAGGTGGATGTCCCACTAACAAAGTATACAATAAACATCCCAATCCCCATAAATCTGTTTCTAGTCCATGTGAGCTTCGAGTGGCGACTTCTGGTGAAATATAATTTGGAGTTCCACACATTGTCATATGTTTTTCATCCTTAGAATTTAATTGAGTAGCAAGACCAAAATCAGCAATTTTTACACGCATGTCTTTTGTTAATAACAAGTTTGTTAAAGTCATATCTCTGTGCACAATATTATGCTTATGCAAGTATAAAAGACCTTCAACTACTTGTCTTATAATATAACGAGCTTCAATTTCTGATAATTTGTTTCCATTACGTTTTAAATATTGGAGCAACTCACCATTATGACAAAGTTCTAATACTAAATAAACATGCCGGCAATCTTCAAAAAATGTATACAATTCTAGAATAGATGGATGTTTAAGTTGACTATGTATTTTTACTTCTTGGCGTACACGATCGATCATGTTCTGCTTTTTCATTGACCAAATATCAATCTCTTTGATAGCCACTTGACGGCCAGTTCGGCGGCATTGAGCATGATAAACACATGCAAATCCACCTTTACCCAAAAGTTCCAATTTTTCAAAACCATCTATACTATCAGATAGCGGTACTGTTTTATAGGGCAACATTGATACTTCCTAAAACAAAAAAAAACAATAAGTAACTTATAAGTTATAATTAATATAATTTTTAGACATTTATTTTTTCTAATAATTAAAATGTATGTTTCAAATTTAATCAACTCAGTGATAGATGATAGAATTTAAAAATTTAAAAAAATATGTATTTCTTATTTATACATCAATAAAATATATATTTCTTATTCATACATCAATAAAATATTATCATTAACTTGGATTAACAGGTTGTTGTTTTAAAATCCTGGCCATAATATAATATATTACTTAAATATATAAAAATTAAATTAAACCAAAACTATTTTATTGTCTTAGTGGAAATCAGTATTATATAATTGCATAACAATTAATTGATTTATTTATTTTTATTAGAGTATTGGGTTAATCAAAAACATTTTAAAATTACACAAACTAATTTTTAATTATTATTTTCAAAAAATTAATGAAAATAAAACACATAAAAAGGATAATGAATTGAAAATATTAAGAAATCTTCAAAATTATGTTTTTTCAAATCAAATAAATATTGGATACATTTTTCCAGTAAGAAAACTGACATGCATAAATTAATTTGGAAGTTAATATAATACATCAACTATTGTATATTATGTAGACATTTTATCGTCATGGAAAAGTACATAGAACTGAAGTACAATTCTGAAGGTATCTAGAAAGTAGACACAATAGGTGTTGATTCATTCCGCTCAATGTATTATTCCGAGGAAGAATTATCTATGTAGTTGCTAATGTATAAAAATAAAGAATTAACTGGAAACAATTTGAAGATTAAATAAATACTAGTATAGTAAAAAATTATAATATGATATTATAAATCACTTAGGTATATATTTTTAATTTTAATAGATATTCATTTCAAGTTTATTTTAGAATAAATTATTTTATTTTTACCTAATCAGGACCTAGCGAGTAATATTATGGTCTAACTATAAGAATTGTATGTAGTTAAGAATAAATAGTTTAATAATATCTTTAAAAAGGTACCTTTTTTCCTTATAATTATACAGAATTCCAGTGAGACAGGTATATAAAAATATTTTGTAACGCCTTCATTTTTATTGAAAATTTAAAATACCAATTAATAAACTCATTACATTTTTTAATAGATTAAATGGTGATGTAACACAAAATATTAAAATAAGTAATAACTAATAGATCATTAAAATTTAGGGATTAAGTAAAAATATTTAAATTAAAACCAACTTAAAAATAATTTGTTTACATTATCGTAAATTCAAATGATAACGGATTCAATATTATCACAGACCAAATTAGATAAACATACTTTTTTCAACAAATCATGGAAGAAATATTTTTAAACATGAGATATTGAGATGCATAAAACGCGGGATTAAATACATAAGCATAATATCCAGCGACACTGTAGCACCACAGATTATATTAAAATTTAAAATATAATTAATTTAATATAATCTGTGGTAGCACTCGACCGTGTATATATACAGAAACCTAATTTATACTATTGTTCTGTGTTTACACATTACATTAAACAATTTTATTGTAGCATGTAAAATTAAATGATGGGATGGAAAAAGCTTGGCGAAAATGGTGGAATGATGACATATCAATGTAATTAAATACCTATTCAAAGTTTTTAGTACCTACATATTTTTTTATTTTTTTATTTTTTTATTTTAAGGCTTATTTAACTGTATATGTATTTTTAATTTGTTGTTGTATAAGTAATGCAAACATTTAAATGTAAATTTGATGATTTTTTAGTGCGTAAAAGTCCTTACTCTATCCATAACATAATCATATAATAGTATAATCTATACATATAAAACAAAGTCGTGTTAGTTACACTATTTATAACTCAAGAACGGCTGGACCGATTTGGCTGAAAATTGGTGGGGAGGTAGCTTAGAACCAAGAGGCGGATAAATTATATTTTTTATCCCGTTACCGTGGAACTTGACATAAAACGTGGTACAACAAAAAACGCAACTGACATGGAATAACATATGTATAGATTTTATGGTACAGCGGCCCGCGGGTTTCCAGCTACCTGCAACTTGACCTTTTTGTCCGTCAAATTATGTGTTTGATCGGCGTGTAGGAATTACAATCTAATCTTAATTTTTCAGTAGAAATTAGTATTTTTTTTGTTTTTTGTTCAAAGTTCAAGTTGCAGACGTTTTTGATAAATCTAAAATTAAATTTGTCAATAGGCTAGCCCTGATAACCTGTTGTTATACTTTAATATGAATGCCGTTTTTTTTTTCTTGCACCTCGTATACATTTTCTTTTTAACCAATCAATAAATACTGGCACAATTCCTTCAATATGGAAAACTGTATTTATTTCCCCGATTTTCAAGAAAAGTGATTGTTCTTGTGTAATTTACCAATACCACTTGTCAAAACGTTTTCAACACTCCAACAGTTTACACTAATACCATTGTATAACCATTTTAGCCAAGACAATAGGTTGCTTTAAATTTAGACAGTAGTTGTGGTTGGCAAAAGTAAGTACAGGGGGTGTTAGATAGGCAACTGAACGAACACCACTACTCTTCGAGTCGATTCGAGAGTAAACAAACATCAAAAATTCTGTTTTACTAACAGGGAGTCCTAGAGCCTCCTAAGTCCCATGCCACCGACAGTCAATATTATCACATGCGTGTTGTATTATTTCTGAATGTACATTTGTTATTATAATAATAATAATTTTAAAGGATTTTTAATATGTATTGCCGTATTGAAATTCTCATAGATTCGACGGGACCATTTTAATCCAAAAGTGACATCCTGTTTTCCTCATCCATTGTCCATTTTATGCCGAAACAAAGATTCAATTTTCCTTCAAATATTGAAATATTTAGCAGGCATCAGTGTTGTGTACCGTATTATAAGGTGAGAGTAACAGTCGATAACATCGTAACGTCATACCTAACTTCATAAGATCGTGTAATGTGATCTGCAAGTAAGCCATATTTATTGGAAATATAAAGCCATGTTTTTTTTTTATCGTTTATGCTAAATTTTTTTTGCTGTTATATCAGTTATATGTTCTCGGGAGTAAAACCTCAAGGTACCGTAAAACACTAAAAATTATTATTTTATATTGTTAATAACTATTTATAAAAGCGTGATCTGAGGTCCAATATTTTTGTTGAATAAGTATACAATTTTAATACTCATAACTTTTATGTTTCAGACTGTTTGTGTAGGCGTATAATGGTATCATTAAATATTATTATTAAATTGAAATATTGAATCCCAGTCAAAAGCCTCTTCGAAATGATTTGATAACTACTGTAAATTTGTAACCGCCATTTCAATTTGAATACAGGAAAACAATTTAAAAGTTAATGAGCGTGTAAAACGTAATAAATAATAATTATTATTGTAAATCAGGCTGAGATACAAAATATTCTGAGGCTGTGCGTATTATTTTGAAAATAGTCGGCTCTTCCATGCTTTGTTATCGTATCTTTTTAAACAATAAACTATCTCAATTTGGCGGTATAATTTCTGTATCAGTTAACCGTGATTGTAGTAAATATTATAATCTCCATAATAATAATATTATACTAGATTGTTTTAAAAACCATCATGTCAATATTCATTTTCTGTAAAAAAAACCGCAGTTTATCAACAAGATATTACTTTTTTAGTGAACATTTTTAAATTACAATAGTAATAAAATATATTCTAAAATATCCATAATTATTCATTGTAAAATTAAATACTGTCATAATATTATCATATTGTTATAATATTGATATAATTAAAAATTCTCATATTTAAAATAGGTAATATTTACAATGTGTGATCATAAACATCAATCGTAACTAATAATGTACTATGGTAAAACAAGTGGTACCAAACTATAATTTGTGGTAAGTAACAATATAACTATTTAAAAAAAATATAGAATATAGGTACTTAAGTTATTACATTTTTTCAATAATTACTCTAGAGACTAGAATTCTCTAATAGTTATAATAATAATAAACATGTTAATTGTTCTTACAAATTATATACTTAACAGATATATGGCTTGCCTTGTTCATAATACGTATTTGTATTATTATTTAAGAGATAATATAGGGTTTTAAAGCAACATTTTATAGGTTTATTCAAAAAAACATCCAAGTAATTATAATTAACAATTTTAGCTAGGTGTTAAGTTTGATAAATCGAAAGAAATTTGTTTTACACTTTTACTGTACAAACACATTAGTTATTACTCTTACATTTGAAAAGTTGCCTACCTATTAACCTTTCACAGTAGATTACATGTCTTATATTATAGATACATTAGGATTTTTTTTATTGTAGTTTGGGTACCTTTAAAAAAAACTTTTATCATTAATTGTTGATGTAAAAAAGGTTTGATTAACTAGGCTCAATTAGGTGTATTGTTATTGTGTGTTCTATGCTGAATCGTGATTTTTAAATTTAACGTAATTAATATTTTAGCACAGGCCTGATTATATTTAATCATTTTGATTTTCAGACTGATTAAATTAGTTTTTGAATTCACTAATTTAGAACCTATAATGTCAATAAAAGAAAAAAAATTAATATTTTAATCGGTTCTAGAATAATTAGTAAAACCGCTATAAAATATAAAGAATCATATACATTATATATAGTATAATTTATTATAAATACTATTAAATCAATGATCATCTTTAATATGATATAATATAATTATTATTTAAGAATCTTATTTAACATATACATGTATAAATGTGTAAATTTATAATGGAAATTAAATGCCACTGTAGAAAATTCCATGTAGAACAAATAGGTAGTTCGAAAATTGTATCTAGATGGGTAGGTAGTGATTTAAATACCTTTCTGGATGAAATATTATCATTTGTCTTAAAACGTGTATAATAATAATACATACCTTCCTGCTCCAAAATTGCTCCCAAAACTGCTCCCTCATTTTTGTTTTGTTTTATGTATTGTTTACTTTCATTTATATTATAATATATTATACCTTTATGAATTATAAAATATATATCCTACTATGACCTACTGTCATTTTTAGTAATTTATTTTAAAAAGTCTCCATGTAAAATATTTTACATTGTATTACTTTTATTTTTTAAATTTTAATAAATTTATTTTCATATATTGACATTAGTTCCATTTTAACTATTTTTACCTAATTTATTTATTATTATTTCTAGCTTGAAACATAATGAATGAAATGGAAGAACGAAAATGGTTAAAAAAAAAAGACAAAGCATTATTGGATGATAATTTTGAAAATCTTTATTATGCTTGTAAAGAGTTAGCTGATATTTATGTCAACCAGGGAGATTATCAACAAGCATTAAGCCAGTATGAACAGTGTGAAGAAGCTGCTAATCGTTGTGGTGATGAAATACGTTTGGGTGTTGCAAATCGAATGATTGGTGAAATGTATTGTTATTTGAATGATTTTAAAAATGCTATTAAGCATCAGAAACTTCATCTTAAAATTTCTAATTCTAAAAATGATGTAGTCGAACAGCAAAGGGCATTAGCCACATTAGGTCGTACTTATTTTTTACTCTCTGAAACATTGGACTTTAATTTGGATAACAAATCAGAAGTACTTAATACATCTGTTAAATATTACCTTAAAAGTCTAGAAGTATGTAACAAACTAGGTAAAGAAGTTGGCACAAAGACTTTATCTGAGATGAAAGCAAGGCTGTATCTTAACTTGAGTCTTTGTGAAGAGTCATCTAATGAATTGAATAAATCAATGGACTACATAAATAAAGCAATGAAATTATGTTCTGATGCAGATTTGAACGAAGAACTATGCAAGTGTTATTCTATAAAGAGTACTTTGTATTCTAAGCAAGAAAATTTTTCAAAAGCAATTGCTTGTGTTGATCAAGGTCTTCAAATTGCATCTAGACTTTCAAATAAAAAGGATATCGGAACAGAACTTTTATGCCTTAAAGCTGAACTTTTAATAGACATCAACGACTACCAGAGTGCCAAACGTGCAATGATAAAAGCATACAAACTAAAAGTACCCATAAAAAATGAATTTGAAGAAGTGATAAAAAAATTAAAAATTATTGTTCTTATGTGTCAAGTTGAAGATAGTTTACTATTGGCATCACAAATGGATTATGAACAACGAAGACAATTAAATGAAAAACTGGGAGATGCTTGTGTAGCACTGAAAAAATATTCTAAAGCAATTACTTATTATGAGAAAATGTTAGAAAATTCTGAACGTTGTGGTATGACTGACAAAAGTTTAATACCTTGTTATGTTTCATTAGCGCAAACATACAAAGATAATAAACAATACTACCAAGCATTAGAATATTTTTATAAAGAATTGAATATTTACAGTGAAAATAGTATTGAAGCTTGTAAAACTTTATTGAATATTGCTGATCTAATGGAATCTCAGTATGATCCATTTGATAAAATTTGGTCAATATATGAAAGAGCTAAATGTATTGCAAGAAAAAATAATGATGGACACTTACAGTTAGCTGCAGTATGTATTTTGAATACATGTTTCATAGAACTCAACTATATTTTTGTTATTTAAACTTGTTTTTTAAAGTGTTAATTATTTGTTTCAGGTGAAAGGAATGAAATGTTTAGCTGAGGACAGGAATCAACCAGAATTAGTCAATGACTTGAGAAGTGAACTCAACAGTTTGTCAAAGTATGAAACTGAATCAGTTGAAGACGAGTATGATATTCCAGATATTTGGGATGATATATCACTAAAAGACTTTTCAGATATCGATGATGAAGAAGATGATAAAAAAAGAAAAAGGCAAAAACAAACTACAATACCAGAAAAGAAAAATGAAAAGGGAGAAACTCCTATCATTCCTGATTGTGCGAAGGGTAATGTTAAATTAGTATTAGGCTTATTAAAACAAGGTCATTCAGTAAATGCAGGTGATGCGTTGGGGTGGACTGCTTTACACGAAGCTAGTAATTATGGACATGTTGATATTGTTAATGTCCTCTTAGATCATGGTGCTGACATTAATAACCGTGGTGGACCTTGTTGTGAAGGTATTACACCTTTGCATGATGCTGCAGCATGTGGTCACCTAGAAGTTATAGATTGTCTTTTAGATAGAGGTGCAAATCCTTTGGTTAGGACAAATAAAGGAGAGACACCACTTGATTCGCTGATAGCTTGTCGTAACAGAGTGATTTTAGAGGAAAAAAAGGAGTTGGATTCAGACAAACTGGCTCATTTTTGGTCAATTGTTGAACGTCTTAGCGAATGTTTACGGAAAGCTGGTCACACTCCACCGGTACCTTTGACTGATGTAGACGAAATATTAAAGAATGGACAACTACCCACAGATAACTACTTAGGAGTTATACCTGATAATCATAAGAGATCAAGAAAATCCTATGCTGATGTTGAAGATTTTGACAGATTAGAGAGAAAAGAAAAAAATATTGAAGTTGAAGATGTGTTTATATCTGGTGCTGCAGAAGACTATAAACAAACCATTAGTCAGTTAAAAAATCACAGCAAGAGACGGCGAGAAAGTGAAAATATACAGTATGAAATATCACAGCCGCCATTGGTTGAAAATGCAGCCGATGAATGGTTAGAAGAAGATATAATTATTAAGCCAAAAAAAAGACATTGTACTGATATAATTAAGAACAATTATTCACCGATTAAAGAATTCAATTTTGAAGATAACAATTGGCTTATTGATGAAAAATTACCTGATATTTCTTCGGATGTTGAGTCAAACAAAGAAGTACAAAGTTTCTTCCCAGCTTCTGATGAAGATTCTGATGATATTGTTATTTCAGATCAACAAAAAAATTTAGTTAAAAATAAGTATAAGCCTCTAATGCTATCCACAAGTAAAAAAAAACATCAAAGTAAATTAGATCATCAAGGATTTATAAATATAAAAAGTATTTCACCGGAAATTGATGAAGCAGCTCCAATATTCCAACCTGTGAAGAGAGATGAAAATGTGAGAAATATTAATCGTACAATAAAAGTACGTGTCAAGGATAGATTATTTCTTGTACCAATACCTGTAAGTGAAGAAAACATTAATTTAAAATGGCTGTCCACTGAAGTTTCAAGGCGTTATCAAAAACTTGAAAGTGTGAATCCTATTTTAAATTTAACTACAGATGATGGAGCTTTATTGGATGAAAATGATCCTATTGATTTAGTATATGGGTTACAAGAAGTTTTGGGTAATATCATTGGATGGAGTACAGAAACTCTGATTGAAACTTATAAAAAATTGTGTGTGGAATCAAATACTACCTTTGATGAATCAATATCTCAGTTTTTAGATGTTCTACAGGCAACTGGAACTTTGGACATGTCAGATTATATAATGATGCCTAATATTTTGAACATAACGCTGAACGTGTCATGTCATTATCATAATTTACAACTATTATGCTTGTCTGGTGTGGCTCTTGAAGACAATGGAATGAAAATGTTATCAGAATACATGTCTAATCTACAGCAGTTAATCAAAGTAGACGTAAGTTGCAACAATGTTAGTTCTATAGGTATAGGTTATTGGACAACATCAATAACTAATAATAAATGTCTAATGAATCTAGAATCTTTGAATATTAGTCATAATCCTATTACTAACGCAGGTCTAGCACATCTCCGTTTAATTACTCAGCATTCTACTAGTCTACGATCTCTGTACCTTCGAGATATAGATATCAACCATGATTGTTATGATTATGCATCTGAGTTATACTTAGATAATATTGAAGACCTAGACTTGAGTTTTAACATGTTAGGAAGAACTGGAGTTTCCGGATTCTTCATACGACTGGACCCAATGCGTTTGAAATATTTAAATGTACGTAATACAGGTTCATCAATGGTGTTGAGAGAATGCACACTGTTTTTAGAGCGTAGTCAAGCAGATTGCCTTCATTCAATAGATTTATCTAGTCTTGATCTTGAAGATGAAGACGTAGATTTATTGTGTAATTGTTTGGAATCTGCTGGAAATTTACAGAATTTGTGGCTAGCTGACAATCCAAAAGTCACGCAAATGTGTATAGACAGAATCAAACATTTAAGTGTCAAATTTGTCTATATGGCTGGCTGTAAACCAGTTGATATATCTCAATTTGACACTATTGATTTAGAACAAATGTCTATATCTGGATATGGTGATTCAACTTTATTTAAAAATGCTCCTTACAATGTAAAAGTATCGCTGTGATTAAACATAACTTTTATTAATTATTTATAACTTATTTTTGTTAAAAATATATTAGAACTTAAGCTGTGTATTAGTTGTTATTTTTCTACTTAAAGTTATACATTTTGTAACATAATTAACATGTTTAAAAAATATTAAACTTAAAATGTATGTTTTATATTTTTAATTTGCAATTAGTTTTATCAAAATATTATAGTTTTATCAAAATATTATAATTTTATTTAATACAATAACTTACTTTAACACATTGAGACAAAATTAAGACGACAAAAATTACCTTAGATTCTGGGCTATGTATGTGAATTAATTGACATTGCCATAATATAAGTTATGTTTAAAAGAAACATATTATTTATGTATTAATTGAAAATTAAAATGTTGTAAAAAGTAGATTTTAATATAGATCATAGTAGTTACTAACTAATCTATTATGATGGATGATCAAATGTTCTGTAGACATGCACAGTATACACTCATAAGTCATAAAACTTTATATTCATCCTTATGGGGTGGTTGATAACTTGTGTACAATATTTTTTGATTTTAGACCATGAAATAAAAACGTGTCACTCTAGAGGTTTAATTGTACAATTGTACACCTTCAGTGTGAACACTTTTGAAATAATACTTAATTGACAACTGACGATTAGTCCTTTGAAGGTTTAAGCTCAGTCTTTTGTTACAGATATTAAACTGAGTGGCAACTTCAACCTGCAATGAGTGCATGTTGATTACTTGACGCATATTAAACAATTTCACATAAAAATAGTGTTTTAGCATGAAATTGTTATTTTTATATCATGCAAGATTTCTTAATGGTAGAGTAGGTGCATAAAGCAATTTTTCACATGGTAAATTACTGTGAGCTTGATTCTTTACACTTATTATTTCCAAGAAAAATGGGATCTATTGATTTACCTTAAGATTATTATTATTTACTATTCACTAAAATAATTGTAGTTTAAGTTGTTACGTTAATGACTCTAATGGTCAACAATTATTGTCGTAACACTGAATATAAATATTATTAAGTGAATCATTTTTATGAAACCGACACAGGCTAAAACTGTACATTATTTAATCATTTGCTCATCCATATTCTGTCATTGTGACATAAATAATCTACCTTAATAGTAAATATATACCTGTCTATAGATATTATTTTTTAAATCTTTTGTATGTCTTTAACTGGTAAATAGAACAATTATAATATAAAGTTATAGTACCACCTATCTTCCTATACCTACCCATTAAGAAAATATAAACAATATATTTTAAAATTACACAAACTATCATTATTATCATTAACAAGATAATTAGTTAAATAGGTAATTATTTATCAAATATTATTTCACAACAATATTAAATTACTATGCTGTTAAATTAATAACTGCTATAATTATATTTTATTTATATGAAAGTACCGATTTGAACATATTTGATATTTTTGTGACTGGCAACTACTATTGATCTATTGCTGGGTATAATTATATTATAATTACTTTTGGTTCATTGCCAAATAGATCTTTATGCTGAGGACTTTTTTAAAGAGTTTTTGAAACTGCACAAAATCTATGCTAGCTGTATGTGTAAGGTACACTTTTTTATTTTAGATATTACTATACATAATCAATAATTTATAATTTATTTCATCCAGACTTCGGTGTGCACCTCAATATCTCCAGATAATTATTGCCTTTAACGTGATTCGGTATTAGAGTCTCTGGTTTTCCTCTGTGCTCATAGTCCAGTCATAATTTACTAATATGTAATTAAAATAACAAATTACCCATTTTAAATCATCTCCGAATATCGTAGTTCATTTTTTATACACATTTCGTATTTAATATTATTCATACTTATAAAGTTATACCTATGTAATTCATGTACCTACTCGATATCGACAGTTGAATAAATAATTGTGCACTGTTGTAGTGTTGTTTTATACTGTAATATTGCCCATACAATAATTAAATAATTAAAAATTGTTTTCACCTTATAAAATTTACTGTACCCCTCAAAGTGCCAAGATAATATTGTCGAGATTAATGAAAATAGTAATAATGTAAATTGTGACTGCATAACACATTATATGGTAGATATTAAATAATGTTGTACTCCTAATATAATGTTGCACTAGAGTACTAGACTACAGTAATCTGTAAAGTGTTTAAAACATAACGTTTACTTTTAAAAATCCGGCATGTTATAAAGATATTATAGATATCTAATATCTATGTGAAAATAAATAAAAGAATACTAAAAAATAAAAATAAATAAAATTATCCAATCATATTATTATTGTTGCATAAGCAATATTGATGAGGTTATAAAACACGAAATTGTTTTTTAATCCATTTCAATAGAACGGCGTTATAGATAGGCTATTAAGGGTACACAGTTATCGTGAGTTCGGTTTTCCGGTATCATATTCCGTAGTTTAGTATCACATCGTTTCAGAAAATAATTGTTCATACACATTATATTTAATACTTTATAATATAGAAACCTACTGAATACTAATTAGGTACTAAAAAATTGTTCGATTGCTGTACAATTCAATAGTGGCCATTGAAAGTTGAAATCTAAATTAAAACATCCTTTTTTTTACTATTAGTGCGTCTAGCTACATACGCCGCGAAGTGGCCTATACTTACTTAGTCGACAACTTATCGAAGTATGGTGGAGGTAATAATGACAAATATATATTTATACATTTTTAAATTGATATTATGTAAAATTGTTAACTGTGCCTACTTGTATACCTAACTTGGCTTGGATTTTTAATCTCACGTCAATTTTATAATTTAAATAACGCCAGAAAAATAAAGTGTGACAGAATATAGAATAAAGAATTTATTACAACTTCCGGAAATTCAATTTTTTTTGGAATTCGAATCAAATGTGACCCTGCAGTTATACCTAAAGTCTTCATGTTTCAGTTTCAAATCAAAAATATATTATATTAAATATATAGTAGTTATGAAGTAAACTATACTTGTAAGTCTTATATATTACTATGTACAGTGAAAATCGTATAAAAAAAATGAATTAGGTATTAAGAAGTATTGGATCGTTCCCATCTACCCCACTTCTCCTTGACGAATTCCCGGGTACATCAGTGATCGAAATCATCAACTATCAAGACTGCACGTCTGTACAGCTCCACTGCAAGGCTGCATATATATAAATAGATGTATAGCAATAAATATTTACCATTTATCGATTTAGGTTATTGTAATACAATACAATTGCCCGGTGAAATATGATTTCACATATACTTAATAATTTTTTTTATTACATTGTTCAAAAACGGTTTTTGAGAAGGGGAATTGTGTTTTGTACAACTCCGAATCCACTATGACACTGAACACATATCAAAATATTACGGTTTCTTATTTTCTAGTTTGGTTACTTAGGCAGACAGGTATAGTCGCAGTTGTTATTTGTGTGTACGTTATGCACTATACACAGTTATCCTGCAGCTTACACACACCTACACTGTTTTCGAAAATGACCCGCATGCGTACGAAATAAATTTCGCGAGTACATTTCAACGACGAGAGTCGCAAAGTACGTTCACGCGTATCATCGATCACGGTGCATAATATTATGTCGATTACACATTTTATATTATACACCTGTTGCCTACGTTGACGTAGCTGCTCGTACGTACCATAGGTAGCTGCGACGCTGCAGGTTAGGTTTAGGTTTAGGCTAGGTACACTACGTACAGGTCATACAGTGTACTTATATATATATACCCTCGCGGTGTTCCTACGCGTATAACCAATATACCTAGATACTTAACTACCAGCCGGGTAACTCAACCTAACCAGGTCCGATGCGTGCTGCGCGAGACGATGGAATAATAATGATATCGAAAAGACGCCATAACGCTGTGATAATAGCGAAACGGCTTTGGGCGTCTGCGCAGCCTGTTCCTATATAACACCGCACACCAGCACAATTGCGCGCACACACACACTCACATAACGGAACAGGTATGTAATATTATTATTATAATGTACATAATACGCGCGCATGTACAACACTGGAGGTATAGGTACGATCGGCGGCTACCTATATAACCAGTTGTACATATATGTGTATATACGATTAAACCTGATTATAATTTTTTTTTTTTAGAAATATCGAGCCACGCTTGCCTTGAACCGTTTTAAAATTTAATTTGTTTCCCTTACTTTTGAACTGTTTCAAAACCGCACAGCGTATAGTATGGAATATAATTCGACAAATATTTTTTTTTTATAATTGTTATTATTTTGCGGGTTATCGCACAGGAGCAGGTACGCCTACCTAGTACCTACGTACACCTATACGTTTTATTCATTCATACGATATACTGCATAATTTTTATTCGGTATGGGTGCTTTATTCTAATACATATATACAAGGTGATTCACCAAGCATGATCACCCCATTATTTTCTTCGATAATGCAATCATTTTAAATCTGATTTTTTAATTTTTAAAAATACATTAAGACCGTATTTTCGAATTCTTGAGATTATTTTTACTATTTAAGAAGTGTCCTTTGAAGATATCAACTTCCGTTTTTCAAACGAGAACACCCCTATTCAACCACAAATTATACAGCAGTAGATAATTTTTCAAAATCAAAATCAAAATTCATACGAGTAGTTTTGAGTTATTTAACTCTGTGTTCTAAGGATAAAAGGTCCATAGTAATAAGCTTATAATAGATATGGGAGCTATATTGATTTGAAAATTGTAGTCGTTAATATTAATTTATCGATATTAATAGTTTGTAAAAATGACCCGAGTACAATAAATATTAGATCCAATTTTACGTCTATTTTATATTTATGTAGTCTTAATTATATATTATCCTTAACACAAGCATTTTAATAACTAATAAATTACTCATTCGAATTTTGAATGTGGTACATATCCACTAATTCATTTACAGTAAAAGTGGGGAGTTCTCATTTGAAAAACAGAAGTTGGTATCAACACTTAAAGGACACTCCTTAAGTAGTATACAAAAATTCAAGAATTCCAAAATAGGGTCTTTGAGCATATTTAA